GTTAAATGTATTCATATAAAAAATTTGGCAACTTGATGAATGTTTTATAAATATTGTTCTTGGCAATCTTCTCATTCCTAAACATCTTCATTTGAGTGCAAGTTTGTTAATGATTTGCTTTATGAATTTATACATATATATTATATATGGAGTTGCCATATATTTTGAGTCCCTGGGGCAAACTTGGCTAAGCACTCAGCTGCTACCTAAAAAGTAGTTGGTAGTTTGAGGCCACCAAGGGGTCCCTCAGAAGACAGACCTGCTTCTGAAAAAGGGGCCATCGGAAACTGAAGCACAGTTCTGTTCTCCTACACCGAGTCCCTGTGAGTCAGAAATGACTTGGCATCCACTGGCTTTTATTGTGATATAGATATCCCAAATTAGCGCAATTTGAGAGTTAAAGAAAGTTGACTAATAATTTTGTCACATATGGACTGGGACTTTTCGTGTGTGTATGAAATATTGCATTTCAGAGGAATGGTACACACGAAATACTTGTTCAGAATGTAAAGTGACTGTGGTGGATCTCCAGGAAGGCAGTGGGACAGGAATTGACGTGGGCCGCTCAGCACAAGTTCAGGGGACCTGCTTCTTTTGAAGAAAAGCCTTTCCAGGGGAAAAGTTTGGAAATGCGTCTGTAGGGTAGGGCGAAGACAGGATGGTGGTGAATCTTCAAAGTCAAAGCAAAGGCTCCCAAACTTGACAAATGGGCTGTGACACTTGATGGTCCTTCTTTAGTATGAGAAGGGAGTGCAGTGCAGAATGGACGAGAAGAGCACAACAGATGGTAACGATATTAAGTATTATTTGCTAATACACTTAATAAACATTTCCTGAATACCCTCACTCCACTACTGTCTGTCAGAAACTCAAGTGAAATTCAGAAGGGGATGGGGAAGGAGGGATACCATTGTTGAGGTCAGCTGGATCTTGGATGAAAGCACAGAGATGTTTGTGCTTTATTGACTGTATCAAGGCATTCGGGTTGTGGCTCATAATAAATGATAGATAGCAACATTGAGAAGAATGAGAATTCCAGAACACTTCATTGTGCTCATGTACAACCTGTACATGGTCTGATGTCAGAATAAGGTAACATAGTGTGGCTTCACATCAAGAAAGCTGTGTATCAGAGTTGAATGCTTTCACCATATTGAATGCAATCTGCATGCTGAGCAAATGATCTGCGAAACTGGGCTCTGTAAAGAAGAATGGGCCATCAGAATTGGAGGGAGGCTTATCAACAACCTGCAAAATGCAGCTGACACATTCTTCCTACCGAAGACAAGGGGACTGCAGGCCCTTGCTGATGAAATCTAGGATTGCAGCCTTCAGTATGGATTACAACTAAATGTAAAGTAAACCAAAATTCTCATGACTAGCATAACATCATGATAAAAAGGAGAAGAGATACAGATTGTCAAGGATTTTATTTGGCTTGGATCCACAAATCATTCCCATGGAAGTAGTAGTCAATAAATAAACTACGTATTGCATTGGGCAAATCTGCTGCACAAGACCTTTGTAAAGTGTTGAAGAGCAAGGGTGTTACTTTGAATACTAAGGTGAACCTGACCCAATCCTTGGTACTTTGAATCACTGCATATGCATTTGAAAGCTGGACAGTGGATAAAGAAGACCACCGAAGAATTGATATATCTAGATTATGAGGTTGGCAAAGAATATTGAAAGTAATGTGCCAGAGGAACAAAGAATATCGAAAGTAATGTGCCAGAGAAACAAATAAATCTGCATTTGAAGAAGCACAAGCAGAAGCAAGGAGGATAACGCTCACTTACCTGGAACATAGATTAAGCGAGACCAGTCCTGGAAAAGGACATCATGCTTGGTAAAGTGGAGAGACAGCAAAAAGGAGGAAAACCCTCAAGGAGCTAAATGGACACCGCGGATTCAAAAATGGGATCACATATAAGGACAGTTGTGAATAACGACACAGAGCTAGGCAGTGTTTCTTTCTATTGTCCGTAGGTCAGAACCAACTCCACAACCCCTAATGGCAACAGCAAGGGACACCCACCTGTGATCTGTGAGACACGAGGATATGAGAGATGCCATCCAATGCAGGAGTCGGAAATGTTCAAGGATCACCATCATGGTTGTTTGGGGAGCCGAGGTGATGTCTGAGTTGGTATTTATAGGAAGAGTGGAAGTAGCCAGATTAAGTAAGCAGGGCATCCCAGACCCAAGTGTCTGCATAGTAGCATGGTGTCAAAAAGGAGAGAAGCAGGTCTCTGCCCTCATCTTAGACCTACTAGTGAGGCAGACATTAGGCCAGCATCCAGCTGAGGTTCAGCAAGAGCCTGGGAGCCGTGGAGCCAGGCTGAAAAAAGTCTTCCAGTGGCAGGAAGAGATGCAAGAGAAGCAGCAGCGTTCTGGAGAGGATCCGCTGGTCAGAGACAAACATGGGCAACAGCAGTTTCACAGAAGCAAAGAACGGAAGTGAGGTTCCAACAGCAGCCTTCAACAGAGTAGGAAGGATTGAGACTCGGAAGAGGCCATTGGATTTGGCTCAGAAGGGGGTTAATTAGTGGGTTTCTACTCCCAGCTGTAAATAATTTAAGGCAAAACCAATACACCATTTTCCCTTAGCTGCCAGTGACCTAGAATCCCTTTCCTGCTTCTCACACAAAAAGAGAAGTCTTAGTTACCCAGGCAACTTGGTTTTTGATTTGCTAAATCTAGTGGCCTGAGGGGAGGGGCAGACCTGGGGTGGGGTGGGGGTGGGGGAGCTATATTTTCTGACAGTTCAACCAAGTCCAACACTTTCTGTGGCCACATTGTGTGTGTGTGTGTGTGTGTGTGTGTGTGAGAGAGAGAGAGAGAGAGAGAGAGACCACAAGAATATGTACTCCACATATCAATTAGAGAAAGAAAAAAGTTACTATTGCAGTGTTTAGAATGTTCTGAGTTATTCTCAGTTGTGAAGAGTAGTGGATGGTGGAGTTTATTTAAAACAGTGCCTCTAAATTGTCTGTAGTTATTAACAGCTACATATGTGGGATTCCTGTGTGGATCTGTTTTGTCATTATGTTACATAATTGTTTTTATCTTGTGATCAGATCTGAGTCATTCCGTGCCAAAGACCCCAGGGCACTGATATGCTACCATGTGTCACTACACAAGTCTCAACTAATGGAGCTGCTAGAGGCCATGCATGTAGGGTTGGTTGTTCTGTGTTTTCTAGCTGTGGAACCTGCACCTCTGTTGAAATCGCAGTAGACAGCTTGCTTTCATTGTGATGCCCCCGCCCATTGAGAAATGCTGGTCTTGGGAATAGGTTACACTGAACATAGGGGCCCTGGTGTGGTGGTGGTGATGTATTGGACTGTCCATTGGGTTAGGCAAGCACAGCAGCTCACGATCAGCTCCCAGGGAGAAAGAAAGACAAGGCTTTCTAGTCCTGTCAAAAGTTAGTCTCACAGATCCACATGGGCTGTTCTACCAGTTCTAGAGGCTTGCTATGAGTTGGAATCAATGCATTGGCAGTGAGTTTGTTTCATTTTTTTTTTTTTTGCATTTTAAGATATGAACATTAAAACCAAGCCAAAAATTAATTAATGTCTATTAATTCATATTTGTAAAGTAACTATGTTAATACAAATCAATAAATAACATTTAAATAGATTTCCATAACTGCTAGGTTTTAAAAGTATTCTGACAATATACAGCCAGAAGGTCAGCAATTCTAACTCACAAGCCACTCACCGTCAATAGAATCAGGTATCAGGCATATAAGACCCAGAACAAAATCATACCCAATGTGAATGGGAGAAGGGGAGACCCAAAGCCCCTCTGTAGACAACTGGACATCCCCTCACAGAAGGGTCACAAGGAAGAGATGAGCCAGTCAGGGTGCAGTATAGCACCAATGAAACACAGTTTTCCTCTAGTTCTTTAATGCTTCCTTCCCCCAACTATCATAACCTCAATTCTACCTTACAAATCAGATTAGACCAGAACATGCACACTGCTACAGATAAGAGCCCGCAACACAGGGAATCCAGGATGGATAAACCCCTCAGGACCAACAGTGAGAATAGAGATAGTAGGAGGACTAGGAAGGTGGGGGGTAAAAAGGGGAATTGATCACAAGGATCAATTATTACCCCCTCCCAGGGGGATGAACTACGGAAAAGTGGGTAGAGGGCGACAGAGGAGGATGTAAGATATGAAAATAATCATCTATAACTTATCAAAGGTTCACGAGGGAGGACAGGCAGGGGAGAGAGAGGGAAAAATGAACTGATATCAAGGGTTGAAGTAGAAACACAATACTTCGAAAATGATGATGGCAGCATATGTGCAAATGTGCATGACATAATGGATAAATGCATGGCTCATGACAAGAGATGTAAGAGCCCCCAATAAAAGTATTTGATAATAAAAAAAGAGAGAAACTACGGTCCTAATCCTTCAAACATAGAAGTCCAATCCCAGGTGGCGGTGCTTAAGTAGCCATACTTTTGGTCCCTGTGAGCTTTATTTTATGAGGATTCTTCACAACATCATAGAAAATCCCTCTGCTGTTTACTCCTATTTTCCCACACATTTTCTGCACTATCCTGGCATTCTGACTAGATATCCATACAGTCACATGGATGCATATGTATGTGCCTAGAAAGATGAACGTCTCTGCTCCCACAAAGATTGTACAGTATCAGAACCCCCAGGGAACAATTCTACTCTGTCCCGTAGGATCATTAGAAGTCAGACCAACAGGAAGGCAATAGGTTTGCCTATACATATATGTCTATGTATCTGCACAAATACTTGCACATCTGTGGGGTTTTTTTGTAGTATTTGCTGTTATTACATCATAAAAATTACCCTGAGGTCCTTTTTCCTTATGTCTGTATAGCTCACTTTGGCTGAATGCCACAAAAGATAAACATGTTTTGGTTTTATGTGAGTTAACCTTTAAGAAGTCACAGCACTAAGAGTTTGGGCTTTATCTGATTTTTCCTCTTTTTCCATTACAGGTGCAGGGCTCAGTGTCAGTGATAATGAATCTGGTCAAGGTAGCCAAGAGGGAGGCACCTTGACTGACTCCCAGATCGTAGAACTCAGGAGGATACCCATCGCAGACACCCACCTCTAGCTCCTCAGTAACCATCAGAATGAGGACAGTACCGTGTCTCTGTTGTTTTTGTTTTGTTTTTGTTTGGGGTGGGCGGACTGTATAGGCCCATACAGCCGTGTAATAGGCTCTGGGGATTGTACTGGATGGGCGATCCAGCAGTGACTGCTTTCACTATAGATGAGGTAATTGTTGTGCAACTAGAAAAACCCCTGCTATGATGAAAGATTGCATTGATTTTTGCATTTAATAGGATGTACATATTATAAAAGTGTTAGTTATTTTTTAATCACTTGCATGGCTAACAATGTTTAATAAAGGTAATGATAATTAACAATAAAAAACTATACAATTCATTTGACTGCACCTAGTCTGTTTATTCGGCAGCTTGAACCCACTTGGCGCTCTGCAGAAGAGAGCGGTGGTGTTCCGTTCTGCTGAACGTATAGGGCAGTTTCTAATATGCCCTGTAGGGTCACTATGAGTCAGAATCCACTTGGTAGATTTAATTTTGACTTCCATATTTATCAAGAAAAAACTGTGCAGAGACAAAAAATTTAAAGCAATAAAAGAACACATGTGCAAAGGGGAGTTTTAGGCTGGGTTCTCTAAAGAAGCAAAACCATTGATTATATCTGTGTGTGTGTGTGTGTGTGTGTGTGTGTGTGTGTGTGTGTGTGTGTGTAATAATCAGAGAGAGAATTTTACATCAAGAATGTGATTCACTCAATTTTATCAATGGGTCAATCCAGTCCAGGTGAAGCCCCTGGGTCAGTTGTTAAGCAGGGGTTGACCCTGACTTGCATAGCTGTGAGGGCCGAAGAGCCGAGAATCAGAAAGAGGGTGCAGTAAGCTCACAGGCTGGTGGATGGAGAGGCAGATGAATCCAAGGTTAGTACATCAGCTATCAGATCAAATGGAAGACTCTGATGGCTCTCAGCATTGGCATGCAATATGGTAGGCCATTTTCTCAAGTCCAAAGATCTGGAGGTCAGTGAGCCAGACGCAGCATCCAGATCCAACAGGAAGCATGTCACCCCCTCCTTCCCCCAACCACATACACACAGCATTACCTTCTTTTTTTTTTT